AAAAATAAAAAATGTACTTCTGTGATAGTTTGAGAACTTTTTTTCTATTTTTTTTTTTTTTTACTTAGTTATTATTTTCCCCATAGAACTGAATTGTTAAAAAAGAAAAAAACCAACAACCATTGTCCACTGCATAAAAATATTTTATAATTCATTATTTTTAATAATTTTTATTTCCCAATGAAAAAATGATCTCTTATCATATCTGCCACCTGTGTTTATCATAATTTAACATTCATTGGATTGTTACATACTGTATTACTACTAATTTATTCCACCTAGTCCTTATGAATAATTACTAATAATTTCTGAACCAGTGCTAATCTATCTGGTGCTACTAATAGGTCGATCATACTTTTATTATATAATTAGTAGAAAATGTTCATTAAGTTTTTGTACATTTATTGTATTTTCCTCCCCCCCCCCCACTCCTCACAAATGACTGAATGAGGCATCAGGCAATAAATGTAATTATATTTGTTCTTGTATCTATTTTTTTTTTTTTCAAAAATATATTGTGTTCATTAAAGAGAATAAAATATTATACGTCAAAGTTTTATATTAAAGTTCCGCGACACTGTGCCATTCCGATAAGAAAAAAATCCTATTTAGTTTTTAGTTTTTATGTCCTGTTAATATTAATAATTGTATAACAACAAAACATTTGTTTTTTTTTTTATTTTTCTAACAATGAAATTATTGTATATAATTTAATAGTTAATATTATTTCTCACACCCCCTCCACCAAAAGTGCCTAACTATTTTTTTGTTTAATTTTATGTAATACATTAAAAAATATTATACATTATTTTTCTAAGCATTAAAAAAAAATATTTCGAATTACTAAACCGTGTACGAATAACATATTTAATAATATATATTTATAAATATTTATAAATGTATAGTATTAATATATACTATATAGTACATACACATACATAATATATAAATCTACTTAACATTGTTTTTATAGTGTAATACAAACTAATTTAGTGAAAATAGGAATGCACATCTCGGAGGAAGAAACTAAAATATTTTGGATCTACAAATTTGGACTCTGCTTTCCAAAATTATTACATGCATATTACTTCAAACTAATGACTAGTGTGTGTGTGTGTGTATGTATGTATGTGTGTATATGTATAAATATATTTATAGGAGTTCATTTATTGTTACGTTAGGATTTGAGTTATACATATTTTATATTGTAAGTTTCATACATATTATATATTTTTTTATGGACAAATGTATAGATTATTTTTGTAATTAACTAAGTATGACTTTATTAATAAATAACAAAAATAATTGTTTAATTGTCCTTGCGTTTTATGTTGATTTTTATATGGCTGTTGTTTTTCCTACAGAGTGCGATGTTATATTTCTGACACTGTAGTCTTAGTGATGTCAATTAATTTGTTTTATCCAGTGTACAGTAATATTTGATAAATTGTTAAATGTACCATGTACATAACATAATCTGTTGAAGGCAATTAATGTATAATTTGACGTAAAATTATCTCTACGTCATCATCATAACATATTTATTATTAATCTAATCCCACAGAAAATGTTCACGCTAACAAATAAATGTGATTATTACAGCCTACAGTCTTATTATAACATTTACATTATAACAAAGTGCGATTGTTGGCGTCTTTAAGAATACTTTTATAATCTGCTACTGTGTAGACGTCGGCAGTCAAAATGTATTAAAAAAATATATGCCATGGTTGTTGTCGACGATATTTTCAATTAACTTAAAGATTCTCTGACTTCCAAGTTTACCAGGCTCGATCCATAAAAAAAAACTATTTAATTCCGTTATTTATTTCAATTTTAGTTGTTAACATATTATTATTTTACTTTACTAATACTTTACAAGACAAAAACTTTAAATTAATTGTTGAGATTCAATCAGTCTCAATATTAGTTAGAATAGAAACTCCTTAATATGTTAAGCAAAATATAAACAACAAAAGCTTTTTTTATTTCAACAGATGATTAACCACCTGAATTTTGAATCTACATAGATAAAATCACTTCAATGCCTGCTGACTGCTAAGTAATTCCTTTCAATTTGTCTTTCATATTATCTATATAAAATACCTACTCGCATGCGCTTATTATAAATAATTAGATTGTGCGAGTGTTTCAAACATATTACATATGGTAAAAGAAGAAATAAATATTATGGACAAATGAGTAGCGCTCTGTTGGCTATCTTAATTACTTGGGGGCATATCCGGATTATTAAACTCGATTTTGCTGTTCAATGGCTCATTTTTGTATACTAATAATATTTTAATTCTATCACATAATTTTCACACATACAGGTGTACGGGTATACCAACATTCGAACGCATGTTAAGTACCCATCAGTGATTTCATAAAACTTAAGTATTAATCTATTGTTAAATGTTCATTATAGTAAAATAAAATAATTTATTTTACCATACATTAAAAATAATCGTAAGTCTAAAGTTGCAAAAAAAGCAAATCCATATAGGTATCTGGATAAAAATTTGATTCGAATCTGGATGTGGACATCCGTATAATTCAGTTATTCGAATTTCATGCCCATTCCTAATCTCAAGTCATTGTAATGGATGTTATTTTTGAATTCCATTATTCCATAGTACATCATTCCATATGAAAAACAATATTCTGAGCCGAGGCGAATCGCGGAAAAAAAGTCTGAAGCATAAAAAGTCCGAGATAAAAAAATACGGTATAATATTATATTATCAAAAAAAAAAATCAATGATAATAATTATAATAAATAAATAAATATAAAACAACCAAAATAATTAATCATACAAATAAAATATAATTATATATTAAAATTATTTCTTAATYRAATTAAGTATTTACTATCGTCATATGAAATATAATATAGGTATTTAACAAAAAGTCGGAGATAAAAATAAGTTCTGTATAATATTATATTTAAAAAAAATTCAATAGTAATAATAAATTATAATATATATAAAAATTCAATAATTTTAATGTTTATCTAGGCCTTGTTCTGATATTATGACCAACTTATATAAAAATTCTTCAAAATTCAATGATAATAATTATAATATTATATAAATAAATATAAAATAATTAATCATACAAATATAATAAAATTATTTCTTAATAAAATTAAGTATTGATTTTTCCTTTTACCTAATTATATGACTTACGCCTATATCGGACTTTTTAAAACACGGACTTTTTTTCTTAGGACTTTTTTACCTCGGACTTTTAGGTAGTCTACCGCCGAGGCGTATGTCATCTTATAGCATACTCGTGTAAATATTCAGATTTCATACTTGAAAATGATTGATAAAAATCGAAAATATATAATTTGCATAACTAAACTTTGCGCGGTAACCTTTTTTTTTTTTTTATTATTATTATTATTATTATTAATTTAGAGCAGTGATTCTCAACGGGGGCGAAATCGCACCCCAGTGGGCGGAGAAGTGTCACTGCAGGGCATTGAACTAGTTTTGGGTGGTAGAGGGGCGGCAAGCGTGTTCACGAAAAAACGTTATACATTATGTGCGACCTAAAAATAATTCATACTCTTGAAAATCCATATAATAACTATCAGTCACTATTTTACTAATAGGTACTAGATGTAAAGCAATGCACAATAACTTAACTTTCATTGTTGACAAATTTATTATCTTACGACCTACGGACTTATGTTAACGAAAATCAAACCCTAATATCGAAAAACTTGCTAAAAACCATAAAGTTCAATCATCTCACTGAAATCGTGTCTACAAAAACAATAAAAGCAATATTTTTTCTAAATAAACTAATAAATGTATTTATTTATTTTTATTAGAATTAAGCCTCGGCAACTATGGCCATTGACAACAATGGGTTTAAATCTACAAGTTATATAATTTACATCAAATGTATTTATTATTATAAAATAAAATTGATAACTCATTAAGTTTTTTTTAATTAATTAATTTACTAGTACTATAGTTAAAAAAAATTTGAAAAATATAACATTGATTATTAGATAATTATTCAAATTTTCCAAATCATTAACTTCCTTCCTATATCTCAGCCCATACCATTAATTATAGAATTTTCATATAGGGGAGCGTTAACGAATTGATTCCTATTCAAGGGGGCGGCAACATAAAAAAGATTGAGAAACACTGATTTACAGTAAATTGTTGGGAGTTATTAAAATTTCTTACGGTACCTTAAAAAAAAAACTTGAATATAAATATAAATATAAATTTCTAACTGAATAATAACTTACAAAATCCAAAAATGACTCAAGGCTATTAATTTAGAATTGTCTATGGAATTTGAAATTATAAATATTAGGTAATAATTTTAAGTTTTTGTTGTCTTTCGACAACTTTTTACATTGATATTTTTTTTAATAGTTCTACTCTTTTTGAGCTACCCATAGAAGTTTTTTGAATTTTATGAATTTCTTTAAATTATACTCGAAAAAAATTATCTACCTTATAAAAAAAAACTCAAAAATTATATGCAAGGCTTTATAAGTTTCATTAATAGCAGTTAAAAAATGTTAAAGATACATATCCACTATCAGTATTATTTTTTTAAGCATTAAGTTAATATTTTGATAAAATTCATCAATTAGATATTTTTGATTTGTATTATTTTATTCAATCACATTGAAATTCACTCATTCTAAAAATCATTAATACCATGATTAGAATTACCATTCATTAGAATTTACTTTAAAATTACTTAATTCAGAAATTAGGAGTTTTATAGGTTTTCCATGTTATCTAGGTATGACAAATTGACGAGACATAACTTCTCGTTTAATGAAAATATAAATTTCTATTCATACTAGACTTAGTTCACGAATCTGAAAAATAAAGCTTTTAAAAATTTTCATTTATTTTAATGACCATTAATGCMCATCTTAAGTTTTTTTTTAATAGTTTCAAACTATATCATTGTACAGAAATGTTTATTTACAAAATTACAAAACAAATAACCACAAATTAATTGTTATAACTGTACACAAAGTTTATTTAATAGAACCCGCAACAACTATACCACAATCACATTCATGATTAATAGTGATTAAAGACAATATTTAATGGCGAGCTTTTTCTACAAAATAATATGAAATTGAAATAAATTAATTTATGATTAAATACATTTAAAGCTATAATATATTATTATTTAATTACATTTATTTAAGGCTGTACATTAATATTTACACAATTTTTACCCAATACAGGTAGCTTTGTAGCCCAATCTGGATATGGTGGTTGCAATACACCTGACAACATCATGTCTTTGACACAATCAATAATACTTTCACCTTTTAGAACCACTCTGGTTTTGCAAATCTTGCCGGCTAGGTTGCTGTTGCTGAATACTGACATATCACTCTCCACATTTATTGTGAACTCGTTAAGTACCCTGCATTTTTCCCCAAATAGTTGTTGAACATATTCTTGAACATCTTCTTCTTTATAATTGTTAAGCAATGTTGGAATTTCCTTGTTTTTTTCATTACCTCTATTCTTGTCTTCCAACAAACTTACCATTGACGGCAGATTTTTGCCCGACAGTGAGTAGGGCTTACATTTACTGGCTCCGACTGATTTTATAACTATTTTCAACAGTCTATTATCAATGTTTTGAGGTTTGTGAAAAACATGAAACACTTTTCCTGGAGCTATGGTGAAAAAATATGGA